GATCTATTCCATCTATATCCAGTAATGTTAATATGCAGACATAAACGATAACAAACGATAGGAAGTGAAAACCTTTGTTCAGCAACGCGGACCGGTTCCTAAAAAGTTTTTCAATATTAAATATTTACCTATGTAAAATTATCTTTCCATTTTAACCCACTTATCTATAAAAAATGTTATAATTAAAAATCATTTGATAAGATATGAAATTATTAGTGGCATGGTATATGGTACACTTAAATATTGATAGATATTTAATTATATTTCAAGCTAATTATTAAAATACATATGTGCGTAAATATAAATTGTGAAGTTATAAAGTAGTAAAAACAATAAAGCTATTATTTAAGTGTAAAATAACGAATGAAATTGTAGGGATTCATAGCAAAATAGTAAAGGCGGACAGACGGTTAATAGGAAATAATATTTTTCCACCTAAAGATGCAATACAATAAAACATAGGGTCAACTAAATACATACACTAAAAACTGGATTTATAAACTGTGTAGGTACATTAAGGTAGGTAGTTTTTCTTTCTTACTAAAAAAGTTCAATTTTGCATATTTTTAACATACAAGACAGTTTTGTAATATTAACTCGATGGACTCGATTAAATAATTTTCCCCGAAGAATAAAATAGAAACCCTAAATTCTACTGTAAGTTAGCTTTCAACTGATAATATGTATGTATAAATTAAATTTATTTATCACTTCATTATACCGCGTCTATGAGTCCAAAGTTAATCCTTACATGAAATCGCATAAAACTTAAGATTTTACATGCAATTTCATATGCCGGCTTAAATAAAATGAAACCCCTGAAGACAGACTTCTTTTAAGGGCCCATCTAATGAACACATTATCCCTTCTCATCTTACCATAAAACGCATTTGTTACTTTAATACAGTTAAAAGCAAAAATTATAAATAACTTTAAACTTGTTTGTTCAAAATCTTCTTTTGGTTTCTTGCACAAACAGCTGCCAGACAACTACTCCCATTTCAAGTTTTAAATAACAACAACAGCAACAACAAATAGCACAGCACTATCATATACAACTCCCTCTTGTCCCATCAACAGATGAAGCCCTTCCAAAATAAAGATTATGCCGTCATCTTTAACCATTAAAACTTACCTATAATAATATTTTTCTTGAGAAGTTATTTAACTTTATTTAAAACAATTTTTTAATTTATTTTTATTTTAGGAAACACTTTTTTATAATTATTTTCATTAGGAATTTTATGTTTTATTATTTATAATTAAATATATTTATTTAACACTTAACATCACACAGATATAACATAGAAGTACATGTAGTTACGGACAAAAAGGTTAATTTGCAAAAAAGCTTAAGAAGTATCTGACAATAAATGTATGAGGAGCAAAAAATTAAAAAAAAACGTGCAGAAGCAATGTGTAAAACAAGTGTCAAACAATGTTTTTGGTGGTAATTTGTTTAGAAAGAAGATATGAAAAGGAAAATGATTAAGTTTTGCACTGCTTTATCATTTAGAAAATCAGAGTTGTCAAATGTTTAACTTTGCAGCTAATTTAACAAATAAATACATATATAAAGATAGATAGATATATAGATAGATAGATAGATAGATAGATAGATAGATAGATAGATAGATAGATAGATAGATAGATAGATAGATAGATAGATAGATAGATAGATAGATAGATAGATAGATAGATAGATAGATAGATAGATAGATAGATAGATAGATAGATAGATAGATAGATAGATAGATAGATAGATAGATAGATAGATAGATAGATAGATAGATAGATAGATAGATAGATAGATAGATAGATAGATAGGTAGATAGATATATAGATAGATAGATAGATAGATAGATAGATAGATAGATAGATAGATAGATAGATAGATAGATAGATAGATAGATAGATAGATAGATAGATAGATAGATAGATAGATAGATAGATAGATAGATAGATAGATAGATAGATAGATAGATAGATAGATAGATAGACAGATATATAGATAGATAGATAGATAGATAGATAGATAGATAGATAGATAGATAGATAGATAGATAGATAGATAGATAGATAGACATTTAAAAGAACTGAGCAACTACAACTTTTGAATCTTTAAAATTAAATAAAACTACAATTATTTCAACTCTGTTTTTAATAAGAAAACCTGTATTATCTTTAAACACTGCCTTACCGCTCTTTAAACCTGGTTTACAAATTTAATATAATTGGGGCCGCTGGCGACTAGCAACAAAGTACATATGATTTATTTTCTACATTCAACTAAACAAATGTAAAGATCTTTTTAATGTGGCACATCAGAAAAATGTTTTTCTTTAATTTCTTCTTTAAGAATTTAATGAAAAAAGATGAAAATACATATTTTATAATAATTTCACAAAATACAGAATAAGTTAAACGTAAACCCATTGACGACAGTAGTTGTGGTCACAATTGTAATTACAAGCTGGTCTTTAATGAAGGTGTAACCTGGTCTGTGTGAACCAAAAAATGTTGTATACTATTTCTAAAAGTCAAGTAAGAAGGAATGTAATATTTTCAAAGTATTATTGGTGTCAACCAATTTCTGGGTGAATAAAATGGATTACATTTTACCTAATTCCACACAAGAAGTTCCCACTGAAACACGTACAACATTACATGATGCCGCTGCGAAGGGTGATGATAATAATTTAATCAAACTATTGAAAAGCAATAAATCATGGCTTTGGAAAGAACCCAAATATGGTAATACGCCGCTACATGAAGCAGCAGCCAAAGGCTATAGTCGTTGTCTTATTATACTGTGTGACGTCATTGATCATATACAAATTAAAACAAAAATCGATTTAAAGAATAACGATGGTTTCTCGGCTCTACATTTGGCCGCCCAAAATGGACACAATCAATGCTGTCGTGAGCTGCTGAAACGTTCAGCCAGTCCCAATATCTGTAATAATTATGGTGATACTCCGCTGCATACAGCCTGTCGTTATGGTCATGCTGGGGTATTGAGAATTCTACTTTCGGCCTTTTCTAATCCCAATATACAAAATAATAATGGTGATACTCCTTTACATATTGCCTGTGCTATGGGTAAACGCAAGCTTTCAAAGATATTGTTGCAAGCCTATTCAAATTTACAAATTAAGAATTTTCAAAACGAAACTCCCTTCGATATAGCTAAAGAAAGAATCATCATGATATTCTTCATATTTTGCAGTCTTCCAAGTTGTTACACTTAAAGGAAAACGTTGATAAATGTAAAATGAATTTATTTTCCAACGATTTAATGTTTTCACCCTATGGCTGTCATTTGTTACCCGAAACCCGTTCAATATTTCTAACTTATGTGGAACATTTGCCGAAATTATCATTGAGAACCGGAGAGCAGTATTATTTTGATTTGGCGGGTAATTTACAAAAAGGACCGAAATGTATAACGAACAAGTGCTATTGTAAACCATTAATAAAACATGATTAGTTTTAAGAATATAAAAATTTCTAAAATTTTTTTATTTATATTAAGGTGATTTTAAGTAAAATTGAAAATTTTTAAAATAATTGAAAAAGTGTTTTTGCATTTAAAAATTTTTGGGAAATTAGAAAAGTACCTACAAGGTGTGGAATATTGTGTGTCTAATCTGTACCATTGACATTTTTCGGTTTTCAAATTTCAACATAACCTTTCTGTCTAAATAAGGACCGATTCGAACAAAAGCTTTTTAGGAATAGCAAATTTATCGAGAATTTTATATAAATGGAATAATTTTGTAAAAATTTTTAAAAGATTTGTAAGAAAATTGAGATTTTACTATTAAAAAAATTATCTAAAAATAGAGAATTTAGGAGAAAAAAGGGAATTTGTAGAAAATTTTGTAGAATTTTTAGAAAAATAAAGATTTTTTTCGAAAATTTTCTTAAAAGTTAATTTAAAATTTTTTTATAAATTTTCTATGAAATGGGAGAATTTTGAAATTTTTCTATAAATCGAAATTTTTTTAGAAATTTTCTATAAATAGAAAAATTTTCGAAAATGTTCTTTATTTATATCATTTCTTTAAACTGTTTGTTTTTTACGACACACCCTGTTTTAACATGACACATGTTTTTCTTTTTTTTAATTTTTGTTTCCCTCCTGAAATTCTAAACAAATTCTATTTATCTACAAAAATAATGGTTTCTACTCCCACAAAAACTCAAGATTCAACAATTTCACCCACCTTAACGCCAGTAAGATGTAATTTTTTTACGAAATTTTAATTTTAACAAGAAAATATTAAGAAATTTTCCTTAAAAGTTCTTGACAGTCCAAAAGGTAAAAACTCTTCTGCCAGCGACTCCAATGTTGCCGCTTGCAAAGCTCGCTTGGAGGTAATTGTTAAAACTATCGAAGACAACTTCAATAAATGGCAATTGGCCGAGAAGCGTGGTTTAGCTTTGTGCACTTCGATAGAGGCAATTAAGACAAAAGCTCTGGAGAAATTGAATACAAATGAGAATAGTTCAAAGGTGACTAGTTATCCACATGAGCTTAAGCTTTATTGTGATAAATTGGCAATAATTGCATCAATATTTGAGGATATTACTAGTAATGCCCGGGAGTCATTGAGGCAATTGAAGGCTTTAAGTAAATTGCCGGGAAGTTGTAATGAAATATTCTATCGTTCTTGGGATTTGAATAATTTTATTGAATTCTTAACAGAGCTGTTGGAGAGATATGAAAAAGAGTCTAAAGTTAAAATACATGTTTCTGGTAAGAAATTTAATATAAGATTGGAAATATATTTTCTATTAGAGACAAAATCCAATTTTTATTTAAATTTTACAGAACACCTACCACACTGCACCACACGATCCGATTTAATACGTTCTTCTACCGCCTGGGAATATCCCCAACATATTGATTCCTATGTCCACTTAATGTTTCTTTTTTTCAAAGAAGAAATTAATCTTAAGAAATAACTGCATTAACACAATAAAACACATTCGTATTAAAGTTTATAGTTTATTTTAAAAAAAGAATACATTTAAATTCAGACCAAAAGTTTAATTAAAGCATAAAAAGGCATTTAAGCGTTTGTTTTAAAGAGATTCTCAAAATCTCTATATATAAACATATAAAAAAGTTATAAAAAATGCATTAAAAGCAACACATATAATGGGGATTTTTGTAGTTATGCAAATCCTTTTTAGTTTTGATTGGCAGCCAATGCCATGACAGTAAAACGTAGCTCTTCTGGATCACGAGCCATAAATTCTTTGCAAACACGTGCAGCATCTTGGACAAAGGATTCGTCGGTAGTTTCACCATGTTTAATGGGGAACGATTTGCGTCCGTCCAACTCATAGAGAGTACCATCGACATTGACTAGAGCAATGAAATGATGATAGACTTTTTCATCGGGATTGGCAGCAGTTTGTCCTTCCTGAAAGACACATTTTATGTTAAAAAAAATATTCAATAAAAAAACGTTCGAACATATAAGATATTTTTCTATAAAAAACTGTTAAAAGTTTTCAAAATTATTTCCATACCTGAGCCAAAGCCTGGTGATCCTCCGTCATAGCAGCATCATTTTCCAAAGACTTGCCACGCTCTTCGGGCGATAGATCTTTTGCGGTTTCCAAAAATTTCTTCAAAGCACCATCATTCAAAGTAATGCTAAGATAACAAAAACAA